ATGACCTAATCACCTCTCAAAGGCCTCACTTCCAAATACCTTCACACTGGGGATTAGATTTCAACATATGAATTTGGGGAGACACAAACATTCAGACCATAGCAACATCCAGGGGCTCAGCTCCCTACCCCCTGCATCTCTTGTCACTTTATCCTGGCTGAGGGTGGAGGCTGTAGAGGCTGAGTCACAGTAGCTCAGCAATCTAGCCAATCTCAGAAGGTTTTATTCTCATTTTATTAAACATCATAGAGAGAAAATGAAATGTTTAGTTTGAGTTCAGCCTCTTTGAATGCAAGAGATACTCTGTACTCCTAACAAGCACCTAGTGTATGGGTGGGCCATTTGGTACATGAGGGATCCTATCTCAAGAGAGACTGCAATCTGATGTTCAGAACTCAAGATGTGTCCTAATCGTTTCTTGTCTGTGACCATGACCACTAAACTGATTATTGTGGAGAAATCTCCTCATGACAAAGTCTAGAGGAGTCTGCTGATTCTTCCTTCAATTCTTCCTTCCATCTCCTAAGAGCCTGCACTTATGACTTTTCCAAAGTCCACCATGTTGACATGTAAAACCAGTAGACATTTGATGGGCTGATGTTTATGTTTAAAAAATAATAATGATCACCATAAGAAGATAAAGCACAGCTAGACTCTAGTATTTTGTTGCCTCATTTATACAGCAGATATTTATTTAGCCCTTACTATATGCCAAGCACTAAGTGTTGGGAATGTATCTGGGGATAACCACAGTAACTACAGCTGACAGATATTGAGCTCTCACCACCTATTTGGCACTGTGCTAAGTGATTCACATTGATTACCTCATGTAATTAAGAATTACAATTTAAGAAATCGACCTTATAATCTCTATACAAAGATAAGGAAAATGAGGTTTAGAGGTTGGATAATTTGCCCAAGAGCACACCGCTAATAAGGATTAAAGACAGTACAAACCTAGTATACTTTCCACTTTTTAATTGTTGGCTGTTTTTTCTGCATGAGGCAGAAACAAGTCTCTGCCCTCATGGAGCTTATAGTCTGAATTACAGAACACTTTTCTATAGCTAAACTCTTTTCATTAATCTCAGAAGAAACATGAAGTGTCCTCCAGAGGAGGCTTCCCACTTTTCAGCAGGTTTTAATCTGGTTGCAGATATTCAGTAAATAGAAGTCACTTGGTTGACATGAACTCCTTTTATTTTCTTCAACCACATTCATTTCTCTCATCTCCTGTGTCCTTCCCATGTCTTCTTCCTAGCATCCTTTGCCTTGTCCTTCTGCTCCTCCTTTTCTTTTCTGAGTGTCCTCCCTTCCGCACCTGTTCATTTTTTCTCTCTCCCATCTAGATAATTACTAGAGTCCCCAAATGCCATGCAATTCAGTTTTAAAGGAAAATATGGAAGGGAGGGACACTCTCACTGTAAATGAAACGGGCTATTGATGGATGGCTTCGTCAGCCTAGGGGTCCTTCTTTAGCATT